TATACACATATTGCTCACCAAACATGAGTCAAATCAACTGCTTCTGTGAAAAGAGACAGCAGAGAAGCTCAAAATCATCAGTCAGAATAAGTCAGGGACCAACTGTGGAAGAGGTCATGAATTAATTATACACAAGATCCAGTTGAAGTTGAGGAAAATTGAAACAGTTAGACAAGAACCAAAGTAGGACCTTGATTGAATTCTGCCTGAATTTTGAGACTATCTCAAGAACTGACTTGATTCATTGAACATTAATGACAAAAGACCATATGAGTTTGGGGATGACATTAAGGACATCATACATAAAGAAAGCCTAATGCTTGTTAAAAGATCGGAAAGAAAGAAAAGACCAAAATAGGTCCTATAGGCTAATGTGCAGTTGTTCAAGAGGCAGTTGTTCAAAAAGAACAAATGGATACTGCTTGGTTTAAAATCTAGAAAGTTGTGTGTCAGAGCTAATACTTTCACCATATGTATTCAACTTGTATGCTGAAGAAACAGTCCAAGATGCTGGACAATATTAAAAAACAGCATCGGGTTTGGCGGAAGACTCATTAACAACTTGCAATTTGCAGATGATACAGCCTTGTTTGTTTAAAGTGGAGAGGACTCGAAGCACAGACTACCGTCTTCAGTATGATTATACCTCAACCCAAAGAACACAAAATGCTCACAACCAGACCAATAAGCAACATCATGATAAATGGAGAAATTATTTAAGTTGTCAAGGATTTCGTTTTACTTGTGACCATAATCAATGTCCATGGAAGCAGCAGTTAAAGAAATCAAATGATATATTGCATTGTGCAAATCTGTTGCAGAAGACCTCTTTAAAGTATTAAAAAGCACAGATGCTATTTTGAGGACTAAGGAGCTCTGGTAGAGTAGTGGTTATGAATTGGGCTGTGAACTGCAAGGTCAGCAGTTTGAAACTACCAACTGCTCGGTGGGAGAAAGATGAGGCTTTCTGTTCCCGTAAAGATTTACAGCCTCATAAACCCTGTTCAGGGTCACTGTGGGTCGGAACCGACTCGACGGCACTTAACAACAACAACAATTTTGAGGACTAAGGTAAACCTGATCTAAGCCATGATATCTTCAATCACCTCATATGCACATGAAAACTGGACAATAAATAAGGAAGACCAAAGAAAAATTGATGATTTTAATCATAGTATTGGCAAAGAATATTGAATACATTATGGACTATCAGAGAGATAAAAAATCTATCTCCAAAGAAGTACAACTAGAATGCTTCCTAGAAAGGAGATGGAAGTTTGTCTTAAGTATGTTATCAGAATGCATGTTATCAGAAGGACCAGTCCCTGAAGATGGAAATCAGGCATAGCGATTATTGTGAGGATAGTGCCGGACATAGCAGTGTCTCTCTCCTTCTATGGTACATAGGGCCACTATCAATGGGAACCAACTTGAAGGCAACTAAACACAGGATTTTGAGAGTACAAATGAAATAAAAAAATGTACCTTTTTCTAAAAATTACTTTAAAAAATACTTTTATTTTGAGTTGGGTGAAGGCTTGCTGTTGTTGTTGTTAAGTTCCATCCAGTCAGTTCCCACCTGTAGCGACCCTGTAGGGTAAGGCTTACAGAGCAGGTAATCAGTTTTGCATTTAACAATTCAGACATGTTTTATTTCATCTCAATAACTGCAGGAGTCCTGGTATGGCACTGATGAATAACTATTAAACTACAAATCTCAAGGTTGGCAGTTTAAATGCACCAGCCACTCACTCCCTGGAAACACTATACAGGGTTGATATGAGACGGAACCGAGTTGACAGCACTTAATAACAAAAACAATGATTGTAAACCCTTCCATGTAACATCACTTCTCCTGTTTCCATCCCCCCTTCTTTTCTAACTTTGTCCTTGAATGCTGCCTTTTAAAATCTCAAATGGTTGTTTAATCTAAAATGACTACTTCAGTTGTGTTGTTGCTCCCCTTATAAATTTATCTAATGCTTGGCTAAAAATTGAGCCTTGGGGTGAGTTCAGTTCCATACCTGAAGGGTGACTAAGGACCATAGTCTCTAGGATTCTAACAATATCTCTGACTAGTAAGCTTGTTTTTTAAATAACTATTATTTTTAATGTTGCTTTTCTCTATCACTTAAAATGAGCAAATTTAATGTTATTAAATAATTATATAATAAGACATCAATAATGAATAAATATTAAAATGGCATGACAGGATCCTTGACTAGAACTTGCTTAAGAACCTTGACATTCCATTGAAGTTGTAGGGAGAGATCAGTGCTTCCAATTCTGCTTAAATTCTTTACCTTTACCTCATGGCTTTCATGCTTTATGGGAACATTTCCCATTTTTTTTTAACCAATGCTTGTAAGACATGGCTTTATTTTGCACATTAAAATTATTTTTTTCTGAGGACAAAGGTGTGATGATAGTTAAAAGGATGAAAAAAAAAAAAGAAAGTTTACCAAGATTCAGCCACTTAGGGTGTTTGGTATCATGAAATCCTTCATATAACTTGTAAGTGACTGAAGCAACATGACACTTGTTGTTTGTTGTGAAGTGCCATCGAGTCGGTTCCGACCCATAGCGACCATGTACAGGGTTTCCTTTTTTCCTAATCTACCACACACTGAGCTAGCCCTCCCCACCAAATGTTCTGGTTGATAATTGAGCAAATTCACTATATAGGAAACAAACCATTGTTGAGCTTAATTAGTAAAGAATGTCTGCCTTGAGCATTATGCTCTTTTAAAGAACCATTAATCTGATCAAACTGGTAACAGCAACTCAAAAGGTAAATTGGGAATCTTAGGGACAGTGACTTTATGTTAATAGAGGAGGAACAATTCAGAAAAGAGGGGAGAAAATGGCTGCACAATTAATGTAATTAATGCCACTGAATAGCGCATTTAGAAATTGACCAATTGGTGTATGTTTTGCTGTGTATACTTTCAACAAAACAACAAAAATAAATTATATATTTTTTAAAAAAGGTAATCAAGGAAACTGGGTAGACAACTTAGTGTGAAGAATCACCTCCAAAAATAATGATTCCAAGAGTAAAAATTGATTTATTACTGATTTCTAAAGAAAACTCCTTCCACATGAAAACATCAATGCTATAAAAAAGTTTTGATTCATAAAATTAATTCAGAGGCCTCATTCTTTATCTTGTCCACTTAATAATGTCCCAAAGGATTCTGTCTTAGTCTGGGTTTTCTAGAGAAGCAAGATCAGCGAAACATATGAATATATATATAAAGAAAACTTTATTATTTTACTAGTATAGAATTTCAGGTCCCCAGCAGAAGAGAAAGCAAAAGTCCCTTCCATTTGTCCATTATATTGGGAGCAGGCCACACACGCGCAAGGAAGTATCCTTTCAATTGATTGGTTACTCATCATAGAACTAACTATTCCTGTATTAGGTTCCATCACCATGGAAATAAACACATTATAACTGCTAAACCTCTGGAAATCTTGGGCTAGTAAAGTTGACACAGAATCCTAACCAATACAGACCCTATATGATCTGGGTTTCTCTGTGCTCCAACCAGCTAAATCTCTAATCTGGCCTCTAACTACTGTCTCCTTGCATACTCTACTCTCTCAATTCTTTCAACATGCCACACATGTGTGTCTTTCTCAGCACTTTTACATTGTCTCTTATGAGTTCTTCAAGTCCTTGGTAAGATGCTCCCTACTTTGGCCAAGCCCATCTGCATTGCAAGAGTTTTTTTTTTTGTTTTTTTTTAATCACCCATGTTCTGCTTTTTATTTTCCCCGGAACTCTTGTTATTGTTATAAAGTGTCTTTGAGTCAAGTCTGTTCTGACTTATAGCGACTCTAAATAGGGTCTATGAGGAACAGCTCGTAGGTTTGAACTGTCAACCTGTGGTTAGCAGTCCAATGCTTATCCTATAGTGCTACACCAGGACTTTCCAAAACACTTATTATCCTTGTAATATATACTTTCCTAATAGATTGTGTGTATTTTTATTGTCTTCATTGCCTCACTAGACTAAAAACTCCAAAATGGCAGAAGTTATTTTACCTTCTGTTCACTAACGAGCCCTAGTGGTATTGGCTGCTAACTTAAGATCATCAGTTCAAATCTACTAGCCGTTCAGTGGAAGAAAGATGAGACTTTCTGCTCCCATAAAGATTTACAGTCTTGGAAACTCTCTACAGGGTTGCTATGAGTCTGGATCAAGTCCAGAGTAGATAGCAGCTGCATTTCACTCATTTATCCTGCCTGGCTAGGGGAGAAGTAGGTATTTGAGGATTATTTTTGAATCAATAAATAATTGCCTAAAATAGCTACTCTTTGAAATTCAAGGTTATCACATTGAGAAAATGAAAATGGATTTATTTCTGACATTCATGCTCATGTGTTGGAGAGGCCCAAACTTCACTGAAAGCTTCCTTCTCTTACTTTATCTCCAACCCATTACTGTAAAGATTTACTTTGAAGTACCACGTTTGAAAAATTATATAAAGTTTAACGGCCTTATATGATCACACAGAAAAGCTAATAAACAAAGTGGCATATTGCTCTTGTTGTTAAGTGCCATCAAGTCAGCTCTGACTCATAGCAACCCAGTATAGGGTTTCCAAGGTGCAGCTGGTAGTCTTGAACTGCCGACCTTGAAGTTCAAACCGACCCTAAAGTCCAGTGCCTTAACTCACAGCACCACACCAGGAGACAGGTATATTATCCAATTGTTCAGTTTCAATAGGTAAGTTTAATAATGTTGCTTGATGGCTGCAAAACCTTGACATACAGAGTTTCTTTGTTCCAAAAAGCCTGTTTTACATTTGAATTGTAAAATGGATACCACACATGTACTACAGATTCAAAAATAAGAATTGTCTGGCTTTATTTGCATGATGTTGGATGATGGTGGGAACTCTAGCGAATGTAATGAGATCAAGTGTTAGGACTGGACTGTAACAAATAAGGTGCCGAAATAAGAAAGTAAGGTATGCGTGTTTTTACTCACCTGCATAATTCATCATTTCTGCAGCTGTGAATTACATTGAGGCAAGTTGGGGGTGGAACTATGCTCAATGCACATGGCTTGCTGTGAAGAGCTTCTTTGGATTGCTGACAAGGTATATCAGATTGAGCACAGTCACAAAAAGCCAACATCTGGGCAATGTTAAAAGGCATATTTTGATAGAAGAACCTTATGGCTGCTTGGCAACGTTTCACATCACACAGATTTCCATTTGCTGAACAAGCTTTAAGGTAAAGGGCCAACTGTGCATTACAGACCACATCCCCTACACACGCCTCTGCCACTTCCAAACAGGACCAGATCTCTTTGAAACCTGAAAAGAATGATATACCCAGGTTGAACAAAAGTAAACGTAAAGCAATATATACAAAGTCTGCAAAATACTGTGAGAAGTTTGTGAACAAAATGAAAACGATGTTAACAATGAGCAAATATGATTTTTTTAAAGAATAAGTATGAATATAGTGAGAACTGAGTAGTGAACTATTTGAATCATCTTTCATCTTTATGGATGTTTATTAGAATCCAGAATTGATTGAAGTGTGCAGGCATAAAACTGCACTCAAAAAAAAATCAGTGAGTCCAAGTTTCAAAAGTAAACAGTAAATCTTCAAACTTCGCAGCTGAACTATTTAACTTATTTTGGTTCAACTCAAAATGACTCATTCTGTTGTATGTTCTATTTGGAGAAGAATCTTTACTAAAATCTACATATAGTTTTTCTAGCATATCAATATCTTTGCATTCTGAAAAACTGAAGTAACTGTGAATACCCTACCCCCACAACAAGCACATATTCACAAAGCCAATTGACGCAAAAATATTAAATTTCTGTGATCAACGTATCTATGGAGAGTAACCAAAGATATAATCTTTGGTTTTAATTGGAGAGTATGTCTCAGCACATCTATAAATCAATGATGGCTGGCATAGCAGATGCCTTTGATATGTCATTAGTGGAAGAAGTGAAATGATTTTGCTGCATTTTGTCACATTAGAGTTGTTAAAAAGTCATATGGTTTATTTTGCAGTAGGAAATCTGTGATAAGTATGGTTACTACACTTTAAATTATATTAGCTAGTACAATGCAGATCAAAATGACAACTTATAAACATTACCATGATGAGAAAGAGTAGTTAGATTCCACTGAAATTTATCCTCCTTCATATCATCTAGAAAGAAAACAAAGGAACAAATTTATTATTGGAAAATTTTCTAAATTTAATAAGAGAGTATAAAATAAATTTATAAATAGGCAATCAATCAAAACTGTGTATAAACTCAGTTAATACTTATTTAGATCTTGATAGTAAAAATCAGTGATGTTTACATTACGAAAAAGCAAAACCCTGAACTACCATTCACACAAGCTAAGCAGTGTGCACCAGTGTTGTATTCTTTCACCATACTTATTCAATCTGTATGCTGAGCACATAATCCAAGGAGTTGGATTATATGAAAAACAAACAAACAAACATGGAATCAGAATTGGAGAAAGACTCATTAACAACCTGTGAGGTGCAAATGATACAGCCTTGCTTACTGAAAGCAAAGAGGACTTAAAATACTTACTGATGAAGATCCAAGACCACAGGCTTCAGTATGGGTTGCACCTCAGTGTAAAGAAAACAAAAAATCCTCACCACTGGATCCATAAAAAAATATTCATATAAATGTAGAAAAGATTGAAGTTGTCAAGGACTTCATTCTTCTTGGATCAACTATCAACATTCACGGAAACAGTTATGGCAAGAAATTAAACGATGTATTGCATTAGACAAACCTGCTGTACAAGTCTTCAAGAGCAGAGATGTCATTTTGAGAACTGAAGTGTACCTGACCCAAGGTATGGTATTTTCAATAACCTCATATACATGTGAAATTTGGACAGTTAGTAATGAAGACCATAGAATTGTTGCATTTGAGTTACGGTGTTGCAGGAGAATACTAGAAGTACCATACACTGCCAAAAGAACAAACCAAGCTGTGTTGGAAGAAGTACAACCAGAATGCTTCCTGGAAACCAGGATGGCCAGACTTCATCTCTCATATTTTGGACATAACATCTGGAGGAACCAGTCCCTGGAAAATGATGTTACGTTTGGTGAAGTGGAGGGTCAGAAAAAGAAGACCCCCAACTAGATGGACTGGCCCAGTGACAGCAGCAATGGGTTCAAGGATAGCAACAATTGCGAGGTTGGCTCATGACCGGGCAGTCCTGTTCTGTTCTGCATAGTGTCACTATGATTTGGCACTGACTCCATGGCACCTAATGACAAAAACAACAGCAGCAGCAGCAGCATTGAGAATTAGTGATGTTTACATTTAAAAAAAACAAAATCCTGAACTATCATTCACACAATTAAGCAGTGCTGCTATGAAATCTTAGTTACTTGAAGATCTAAATAATTTCTCACTGAAATTAGCAAAGATTGCACTGAAATGAGCAAAGATTGTCTGAGGAGAAAAGCCAGAGGTAATAAGAGTATAGTCTGAAAAAAAAGCACACCAAAACAAATAAAAAATATTTTCTACTTAGGCATTAAAATTGAAATGTAATTTAAAGATTACTTCTGCCTCCAATATTATTAGCTTCCAAGAGTTCTTAAAAATTATATCTATAGAATTGGAGAATCTCATGGATGGAGGTGGCTTCAATGATTACTTACATCTAGATAGGTAACATTAGTTGGGTCCCTATATGCACCAGATATCAGACTACAAACATAAATCTTCTGCTATCATCACTGAGAGTCCCACAGCTTGAGAAGGAAATATAGACAGATAAACACAAGATAAATAAAACATGAGGAATACTAACAATGGCATACTAGTGCTGTGGCTCTGAAGAAGAAACACTAGACTGCTAACCAGAAGGTCTGTGGTTCGATCCTAACAGCTGTTCCACAGGAGAATGATGAGGATTACTGCTCCCGTAAATATTTACAGCCTGAGAAACCCTACAAATGGTCAATATGAATCAGAACTGACTGGATGGCAAGTAACAGCAAAAACAATAGAGGCATAAAGTGATAGAAAATAGCATGGTAAAATTATCATTTTAAAGTGAAAACTCCATTTTTTATCTGGTTTGAAAATTCGATTAAAATTAAGACAGTAGGCTAAGATATTACCCTTTGCTATGTCTTAAAGTCTTCATGATTCATTGTACTCCAGCCTAGGCTGTTTGTCCGTACTCCTTGCCCACTAAGTGCTGAACAAACATGATGGCAAAATTGCAGAATTTTTACAACCCATTAAAGAGAACTCCTTAAACAAAGGACATGTGTCTTTTTATATCCTTTTACATAGAATCTAGCATATTATAAATCTCTCATTAACTTTTTTGAATTAACAAATAAATACAATTATCATAATGACCAAACTTTAATGTACTTTGACTCTGTCTCCACAATCCTTTTGGAAATTATGGTTTTGTTATTTAAATTTTCCAGAAGAAATATTGGTACAAGTAACAGTACTAAATCGGGAATAGCATATTCTTTAGTTTATTTGTTTTTGTGATTATACGTAATATTCTTAAAGGCCTCTTTGAATACCACCCTGACACAGTATCATGACTGATTCCATCCTCATTGTCTTCCCTGAAAGCTGGGACTTGATTTATTTGGCATCCTGCCTGCAAATGTTTTCAAATAAACTCCAAATTTGAATGCAGTACCCCTCTGAGGGGTCTTTGCACTGGCAATTCCATAAGACTGTTTCTTTCAGACGTTCTCTTAATGCTGTGCACAGGTGGCCTCCATGAAGGCTCCTGCAATGTCCTGTTTCTTTCCCACAGGTTTGCTTAAAATTCTCATACAAAAGGATACAGTGTTCAGACTCCCGGCAGACACACACTGCCATAACACAATCATTCTTTTTTTCAACCATTAATGACATATCTTTTGGACGGAGCCATTGTGTGATATTTGATTGTGACGTCAGATCTGGGGATAGTACTGATTCATCTATAAATAAAGTTTAATGACTACAAAAGTAAATAAGTTCATTTACTTATAACCTTTTAATACCTTTTCCCAAATACATATGCATATCTTTTATAAACATCCCGGTACCTTTTCTCTTTCAAAAACCCTGGTGTGTTGCTGTGGGCTAATATGTCAGACTGCAAAGTCGTTTGAACTGCAAGGTTGGTGATTCAAACTCACCAGAAGCTCCTTGGAAACCCTACACAGGGTCGCTATGGGTTGGAATCGGCTCGATGGCACTTAACAATAACAACAATCTTGTAACTGATATTGATATTTAAGAATATGAGATATTAGATCCCACGAGCCCTGGTGTGGCTCTGTAGGATAAGCACTGGAGTGGTAACCACAAGGTCAGCAGTTCAAACCCACCAGTTGCTCTCGGAAACACTATACAAGAAACCAACTCGACATCACACAACAGTTGTACAGAACATGATTATTTATAGCTCTATATTATTTCCTGGCCATCTGATCCACCTTATGCTTTATTTACATCCTGTTAATCTATAACTCCAAATAAGTATCTCCATTTTAGACTTCTCCTCAACTGGAGATCCACATTTCCAAATGCCACCTAGATGAGGTACATTCCTTAACCTTTTTATGGTGATCTTTTTCTAACCTGCACTTAAATTAAAATTCAATGTGAGCTGCTGCTTGAGAAATCTCCAATGTGCTATAGGAGTGGGGGTTTCAAAGCTTAAGTACTTCAATGCTTGTAACTCTGAACAGTGCTTATAATGGTTGTTGGTGTTGTTGTCAGGTGCCATCGAGTCGGAACCGACTCATAGCGACCCTATGCACAGCAGAATGAAACAATGTTCGATCCTGGGCCAACCTCACTACCGCTGCCACACCTGAGTCCATCAATGATGCCACCTGGCTGATCCATCTCGTTGGGGGTCTTCCTCTTTTTCTCTGACCCTTCACCCTACCCAGCATGACATCCTTCTCCAGCGATTGTTTCCTCCGGACAATATGTCCAAAGTAGGAGAGACGAAGTTTAGCCATCCTGGCCTCTAAGGAGCACTCTGGCTGCACTTCTTCCAAAACAGATTTATTGGTTCTTTTGGCAGTCCATGGCACTTTCAGTATTCTCCTCCAACACCACAACTCAAAGGCATCAATTCTTCTACAATCCTCCTTATTCACTGTCCAGCTTTCGCATCCATATGAGGCTATTGAAAACACAATGGCCTGGGTCAGGCGCACCCTAGTCCTCAAGCTGACATCTCTACTCTTCAACACTTTAAAAAGTTCCTGTGCAGCAGATTTGCCCAGTGCAATACGTCGTCTGATCTCTTGACTGCTACTTCCGCGAGTGTTGATAGTTGATCCAAGAAGAATGAAGTCCTTGACAACTTCAATCTTTTCTCCATTGATAAGAATGTTGTTTATTGGTCCAGTGGTGAGGATTTTTGTTTTCTTGACATTTAGATGGTAGAACATTTTAAATAAATATTTTATACCATGAAATTCTTTATATTATATTTATCTTGCTTAAGAGTGAAATTAAAACAAACACAAAGGCTAGTGTATAAAAGCAGCATAATACTCTAGAGGAAAAAGTGCCTTTGGATGAGGGAAGAATTATAGGATGAAAGACGTTTTCATTGCAGAGTTTCACTTGTGGTGTTGCTTATATAAAGAAGACAGTTTATAAGTAAAGTACTTCTAGAACTTACTCAGATCCCTATAATGAAGTTGTTTTTCATACCTCCTTTTTACAAAGTTTACCTAATTATGGGATTATTGGTGCTAAGTGGTAGTACATCCTATGTACTCTCAAAAAGGTGATATAGTGCCCAAGGGAGTAAAAATTCATAGTGATTGGGGGAGCAGGACAAGAAATCTTACTTTTGAAATAATAATAAAATCTTACAAATATACATACAGAAATAGCACTTAAAGTACCGAAACAAGGTTGCTATCGGTTGGAAATGACTCGACGGCCTTTAACCACAACAACTATGAGCATTATCTGTGGTATTGAACATTCATGGAGGTGGAGAAGTTAGAAAAAAGCTTTCCTTAAAAAATTCATTAAGGAGAAATGATGAAAGTATGTTGAAAATAATTTAGGTACATTTTCTAGGAGAAAATGGAAACTCAGGAAAGTTTCACACAATTAACTTAGAAATATTTTAAAATAAAAATGATTGTTACAAAAAAGTTTA